GCTTGTAGGATATCATGACTAGCCATGGATCTTTGAAAGGTATTTAAGCTGTAATGTCAGTGTTTCTGAGAAAAAAGAGTTATTGGCAAGCTGCAGCTGAAGCAGGCAGACACCCTGCTGCAAAGGCAGTTCAGCAGGTAAGTACCATCACCATGGACAGAAGATGGGTGAAATACTCTAGGTGTATACACTGTGGAAAGTTTCCTGTATTTGCATCAAACTTCAACCAAGGATCTATATTGCTTTGGTTTCTGCATCAGAAAGGCTTCTGGATATGGAGAATAAAGCAAAGCCTTTTTTCTTCCCTTTCTTTGAATCTCTATATCGTCTCACATAGAGAAAATGTTTGCATATTGATTATACTTTTATTATCACACAAATCCATGTATTTCTGAGCTCTCTGGGCTTCCCAAGATGAATTTCCTATTCCTTCACATAACAGAAAGACTATGAAATAACATTCAGATGTCCGTTTAAAAAGAAATGGAATTTTTTCCAGTATGCTGGTGACTGAGTAATGTTCATGATTTGCTCTCTAAGCAGGGCCAGGCTCACTCCGGGCACCATGGGCCCTCTCGTGGCTGTTTTGGAGAGGACACAAAGTACTTTTCCTTTCAGTAAGTTCTCACTTTCAGAAAACTCCAAGACATGTTCTCTTCGGGCACTCCAGATCTCAAATATTGTCACTGAAAATGGCTATGAACCACAACATTTAGTTTCAGATCCAAATTTACTTGGGATTTAGGAGTATTTGGATTTTTTTTTTCTTCAAGCTAATTGCCAGTAAAAGACTACTTCACTTTTCATCTTTTTTCCCCCCCATCAAAACAGTTTAATATTTTAAAACTTAAGTCTCTAAGGATGGCATATGATTCGGTTTCTTTAAAGATGCAGTGCCCTGCTGCCCTCCAAAGAGCCTCAGGGGCTTTGCAGATGGAAATGCATTCCCATGGGTAATGGATGCACTCTATATAATCGTTTTGGTTTGCTTTTTGATACACGGGACTAAAAGCAGATGAAGCATAAATTTTCTCACGATAAAAATTGCTTTCAATTATTCTATATGGCAGTTAATTCATAGAGAGGCCTAAGAAAAAAAAAATCCTAAGAATATTGGAAAAAAAAAAAGAAATTGCCGGTAAACAGATGCTTTTAAGTGACAACACACCTGAAGAAGTTACAAAAAATAGAGAGACTGCCTAAAAAGATCATCAAGAGACCAAATTGTTTAGTCAAGGTTAATGAAAGTTAGGATATAGTGGCAAATGCATGAGGAAACAGATCAGATTAAGTGAGCAATTATGGAGATAAAGATTGTAAAATGCTGGTTATTTCAATCTTGTAAGAATCCCTTGGTTTTAGCACCATCTTAAATTGTCTTTAAAATGCTTGTCATGCATTTTGCATAAGGAATGTTTCAATCAGACTTTGAATGGAATGGCTTGAAAGCAAAGGATAAGAAAATTCACCTGAAGCTGACACTTGGTTTATGATCAGGGTACTGCATTACAGCTGTGTTTGTTAGGAAAAGGAAGTTGTTAAGCTAATGCTTTAGGGTAGAGCAAGAAAAAGCTGCATTTTCCCACAAAAAAATGTACTACTCCTGGAGCATTTCCAGAAACATAAAGAGAGCAGGCTACACTTTCACTAACTGCCACTACTATTTTATTATAATCAAACCATTATTGTTCATACCAGCTAAATTTTGATGGGAAATAATTTCTTGTTAATTACGTAAGACATATAGTTTAAAGTTTTTCATTGTAAGCAGTAAAACCCAGTATTTTCTGAACCTGACAACATGCTCTAGAACAGCATAATTACCACTCAGAGATATTATAGGTAAATGAGCCACTTACATTTGAACTTGATTGAAATGGATTCTTGCCCCTTTTTTTCTGCCTATTCTCCATTATTAGAAATGCTTTAGTCAAATGCTTGTGTATTATTTTAGTACATCATAGAAACTGATTCAATTAAGATACTGTGGCATCTCAGATTTCATTTTTATAATCTATTATGTATTAACTTGCTGAAGGTCTATTTCTGACCTTGACTTCCAAATTGCAATACAAGAAAAGGAAGTGTCCAGTAGTAAAGAAACACATCCCCCACTGCACACTAAGTCCTATGTATTTAATAACCATTGAGCTTATGACTGTGACTTGTATGTTTAAAAAACAAAACAAAACAACAAAAACCAAAACCCCAGCAACTTACTGCTGCAGACGATCAAGCTGCTGCACTACAGTGGTGCTCAGTGCCAGTAGTACACAAACCTGTTTGGACGAGGTCAAATGCAGACTTTGGGTTAGGCTCTCCTTCCACTCTCCGATGCTAATCTTGGGAACAGTCTTATTCTCAATAGCAGGCACTATCGGTAAAGGAAAAGGGTTAAACTTTTTCATGGAGCGTTTTCTATCAAATGCTATTGGAAGGAGTCTGATTTTTATTTTGAAGTGCAAAAAAATCCATCTGTTGCATACAAATGTCATCAATAACAACATATTCAGAGCAGCCAGCTCCTGGACACAGTAACAGCAGGATCGGGAAAGGCTGAAAGGCACGCTTTCCGTCTAAGAAACTGTCTTGGAGCCAGTTACTCTAGTGTGCAATTCCAGTGTGCTTAAGGCAACGCTGGGATAAGCAAACAAATTCCAAATCTGATTTAACAATTAAGAAATAAAAAGGAAAAACAAACCACAAGTTTGTTCTGCTTAAACACTTCAGGGGAAATAGCTACTTTAAGGTAGATGGAAGTTCACCTGCTTTCCTGCGCTCAAGTTGGTATCTCCAGCTTCATTTCCAGCTGGTCACAGAGGACATTTCAGTCAAAGCAGCAATTTTTTTTACTTTCTGGAAGTTATTCGATGAAGCAAGACTGAGTTCAATACATGCATTTAAGCCCTCCCTTCCCCATCACCATGAAATACACTAAGAAAGGGGAGCTAGTTCATCTTAGCACAGTTAGAGAATAGATTCTATGAATAAAGGAGCTTTTTGTTAAATATTAAAAATAAAATTACATACTGCTTTCCACTCTACTTAAAATTTTAGTGAGGATAAACCCTGAGGTGCTCAAAACCATTACATAGAAGTCCTGTCTTTCCATTACCTTTTCTTCCTAGACTTATGCTGATGGAAAAAGTTCTGGATACTTCAGTTTTTCTTTGGCAGATCTCTCTAGAGTATTTATTCTGCAGTAATATTTCAAAATTGACTGTGGAAAAACCAAAATATCTTAGGTGACCCTTCTGCAGTCTTACATTCTTAAATTCCCTATATATTAATCTTGCAAGTACAATTTATGATGAGTCATTACGATATTTTCCATTTCAGACATTTAAATATTTAAAGATCCAGAGGTTGGCTGGTATAAGATTTGAGTGCTTAAATTATCTCTTTCAACTCACTCCACTTATCCTGCATAGCAGACTGGTGCCTGCAAATACTTTCACCTTTCCTAAAGGAACATTTGCATTTGAACTGAGGAGGGTACTACAGAATGCAACTTCTGCTGCACTGCAACGTGATACGTTAAAATTGCAAACTTATCTATAATGTATTTTGATTAGGAGATGATCTACGTGTATGTCAGAGTGGTGGTGGTTTGAGAAGAAGAAAGAAAAAAAAGAACATGTCCTCAGCGAACTTGAAAGTTCTGGAAGTGCTTGCAGCAGAATCACAGAATAGTTGAAGTTGGAATTTCTTGGTACCTGAAAAATTTTACCTGAAGGCCTAATGCAGTCAGAGAAGAACACCCATGTCAGGACCAGCTACAGCAGTAGCCAAAGCAAAGATCTAAAAGGCAGCTCATTTACCCTGAATACAACTGCAGGATTTGCAATAAAAATTTTTACAACAGGAACTGTGGCTGCTAAGAGTATTAAGCTGATATACTGAAAACCAGGGACAAGTTGTTCTTTCTTTTTGTCTCAACAATGACCTCCAAATTGTCCATCTTTGCTTTGCTTTGGCAGTAAGGAGAATGGCTGGAAAGGAACAAAGGCTAAACTTACAGACATACTTCTGCAATTCTCAAAAAATTCCCCCTTTTTTTTTTTTTTTTAAAGCCACAGACAGGGTAACTTGCTAAGTTTATACGTCGAATACAAAAAACATCTGTTCTTCCTTCTGTTTCACAGAAGTGAAGCTCTGTTGCAAAAGAGAAGACTTACCTGGAATAACAGAGTGCTCTTTAAAACAAAATGTATTCTTTATACCAGGCTAAATCAGGTCAGTTAAAAAGGCAAAAAAAATTATTTTTTTTTTATCTGCAAGAAAATGTTTATTCTTTGTAAACCCCACAGAAAAAAAGAATGCAGCCAAGACCAAGTATTGAACGAAAATTGTGCCAAAGTAGGCAGCAAAATGGGGGAACCTCAACACAAAAAGTCAGTGACAATATTTCATGTTTTGCACAAAGATGAAAAACCTATGACATTTCTGAGTAACACTTTTATGGTGACAATTACACAAGATGATTCAAAAATGCAAATGACAGCAACATGCACACCTGGCTAAAGCTAGAAGTTTTATCCCAAAAGAATATCTGTGATTAAAATGATGAAACTTTAATACTTCTATTGACTTGCGTGTCCTACTTCATTTCTTTTTTTAATGAGGCATACATGCCAATTAACATGAAACTTTTTAAAAAAAAATCTTTTCTTTTAAGAAGAACTTTGTCCTTCCAGAGTCCACTGCATGTTTGCAAAATCATAATGTTGGGTTTGTAATTCTGCTAGTTTCCAATACAATTTTGCTTCCCACCCCTCCAATCCCCACCCTCAAAAAATCTGAAACACTTCAGAAGTTGCCAGTGCAAACACTTTCTATCAATGTATAATATACATTTTAACTTAAACCTTTGTGCAATTTATGAGTTTCCTTTAAAACTCCTTAAAAACTCCTTGGCACAACAGCTGAAAAATATTCAGCTCCATTTAAATTGTCAAACACAAGGTGATATAAAGTGTAAATCACAGTTGAATAAAATAAAAAAAACCCAGAACTGCAGCTTTTATTAGCCAGCTTTACAGTCTCTTGTATACAGTACATTGCACAGTTCCGCCTTCACAATAACGCTTCCTGTATTAATATTGTGCCTTCCATGATGCAGTATAATCAAGGCAAGTTACAGAACACTGCTGAGTTTATATCAAAATAAACAGGAGATGTAACCTTGGTTTATAATGAACATCCAAATTACCATGTACAATTTGCAGTAGACTCTGTAATGAGCTTGATATATAAGCTAGATGACAGTGAAGGGGGGAAAAAATAGTTTAAACTATCAAGTTTCCTCTTGAAATGTCTTTTCCCAAGGCACTGTGAACAAGACTGTTAGCAATTCTCAATGACTAAAAACACCAATGGGAATATAAATATTTCACACAACAACAACCGTCACATCATCATCTATTCTCTTATTCTTTCCCTTAAACAACGCCCCTGAAATTTGTTTGGTCCTTTGAGGGGTAATCAAATTATCTTCTGCAACATCACATATTTGTATTTAATACATCTATAAATCAAAGCTTTGTTAGATTATTTAACCCTTTCACTGTAAAACTAAAGTTTTTTCCTCACTATTTCTGAATGAATCTGCAAATTCAACTTGATTATTTAAAAAAAAAAAAAAAAAAAAGAAGAAAGGGTTCAAAATCAAGCAAAGCCCTGTATTTTTCAAGAGGAAACCATGCAAGAGTACATAAAAAGGCAAAATTGGCTACTTGAAAACCAAGAATTGTTTTTAATGCATTGGCCAAGGAAAATAAATTGCAAAGTTCTGTGAGGTTTTCTAAAAATTTACAAGAAAAACTGATGGGCAGTTCTAGTCAATCCAGATGTTCTTTTTATCCTGTTTTAAATGACAACAAATACAGTCTCACACAATACAATTTCATCTTGACTGCAAGAGACACTCCTGTGTGATGCCTTCAGCATGACAAAATTACTGGGCAAAAAGAAAATTGGCATTCATTTCTTCAAGGGCTGATAAACAGAGGCATTGGGATCAAGTCCAGAAGGGCTGGTCTCCACAAATTTGGAAGAGTAATGTGGGGAAACAGGACTCAGAGTGCTGGTGGCTGCAGTGTATGTTATGCTGGGCATTACTGCCATAACTTCTGCAATCTTCTGTTTTAGGTCCTTGATTTCCTGATCTTTTTGAATGATTTGCCCTGAAAACAGCAAATAACATCACTTAGAACCAGCAGCATGTTCTCACCCTCCACCAACTGTTCCAATGATAACAGCTGTTGAAGCAAAACACCCAGAAGACATTCACTCTAACATGATTATCAGTATAAGCACAACTCAAGTAACTCCTGGTTCGTGTCAACGAACTATGTTTAATTACCTCTAGTTACCGTGTAACACAACTAGACATAGCACTCCCATTAGATTTTGCATTGTTTGGATTCACAGCTGCAACATACCAAAAGATTATTTCTACGGCTTAACTTTTTTCTGCACCTTTCCATTTGCATTTTACAAGCACCTCACAGAAGCAGAAGTATTTGCTTATTAAAATGTGTTATTTACTTTATTTTCAAAACTGTCCTATTCTCACCATTTTTCTAAACCCCCTTTGTGCACACTCACAACACCACTACAGCAATTTATGAAACTACGTAAAGAGAAACACCAATGAAATGAAACAAAAAAAAATTTCTCACTCTAATCAAATTTTCCTGCAACCAAGCAAACTTCTGCAAGGAAATTAAACAGGTACTAGATCGGAAGGTTATTTAATTTTGCTTCAAGGTTTGCACAGCTCAACAAAGGCCAGTCTAAGCAGGGTTTTATACTGGCTTCATGCTCCCTCTGGTGGCTGCAACACCAGCCCAACACATACACCGGTGTCCACACTTACCTCACCAGTGTGAGGTTTAAAACCGGTTGGGTTGTTCAACCCCCCCCCCCCCCCCCCCCCCTCGCCCCCGGGT